CGAATAAAAATTCGCGACAATTCCTACTTATTTAAGTTTGATGATTAGAGAGAGAGAGTTTCTGTTTGTTTACAATGTAGTCAAACTATTGGAATATGTCAACCAACCAAGGTTTGACAAATTGAAATATAACAAGAAAAGTAGCAATTAGTTCGGTTACTCAAAATGTAAACAATTTAGACAAATTCCATGCTACTTCAGCTGCGAAATACTCCTTCAGCATATCATGAAGATAATTCATCTAATTATTTTCAAATACCAAAACTATTAGCAGAGAAATTCAGTAGAAGTTCAAATTTCTATGAAAATGAAATGTATTATTTGCAAATACTTTATACCTCATCGATTCAAAATTTTTTCAAATGATTCTTCTCCAAAATAAAATTGATTCCTCCAGCATATCAGATATGGTCAGTGTAGGTTAGTAATTATAATTATCAAGCAACAACTTAATGTCGAATTTCTTTTTGAAGAGAACATTGAATGTCATTTAAATCTCCTTGCGTTAAATTATTGATTGTTTGTTTTTCTTGTTTCTCGTTATCTGTAGTATTACTTATTTGAAATATAATCATCAAATTAAGCATTTTTTCCATGATACATTACTTTTAATTTCTAATTATCCGATATTTAATTTGAATTTTAAATCTTCAAAGTAAGTTCAAATAATTTGGATAAAACAAAATTCTTCAATTAATCATTTCTTATTAGAAAGATTGAAAACTTTTCGCAAAACAATAATTTATACTTTCTAGCAAATTTCAAAAATCTTTCTTACTCTATCACGAAAAATTCTCTTGAAATTCATCTTGCGCTTAATGATTTTCTTATCATTCTCATTCAGAAACGATCTTAACATGTTGGAAACTTTTCTTTTTTTTGGAGTTCAAAACAAATTGAAACTTTCATTAATATTATCTTATTGGATGAACAATTGTTAATGATTTCTAATTTCTTCATTATTGTTATAGTTGTATATTTCAAAAAGTATTCATTTTAATATGTCCTTCGTCTTAATGTACTTTTATTAATTGTGTTAACTTTACTCTTAAAGTATTCTTCCTAATGTATTTTTATTAACTGTTAAGGAATGTTACTGTAATTAATTGATGATTGATTATCAGTAATTAACAGCAAACAATTTTGTTCCCATTAATATCATTGCCAGTTCCAGTAATCTTTCATTTGTTTAATGCAAAAAGAAAATTCGATGATAAGTTATGAAATTTGATTAAATGAAATAAGGTGGTAAAGAACTAAAAGAAGAAATACGTAAAAGGACGTGAAATTGAATACGTAAGCAAAAGTATTAAAGTAGCATATATATATATATATATGTATATGATTTTCTCATAGCATATTTATATATTTGAAGTTTAATTTTTGATGAGCTTTGAAAATGACTCATTAAATATTAACGATGGAGATATGAAGCGTCACCATAGTGATCTGTGCTTAATGATAATATAAATTTTTTCAATTTTAGAAAAAAACATTCCCGTTAGAAGGCGTTGTTATCAATTTATTTATTTAAAATTTTTAAATATTATTATCATGCTATTGTTATTTAGTAAATTATGATAAACAAATTGAAAGTATTCGATCAAAATATAGCATAATTTAAGGGAAAAGATAAAATAAAATTGAAAATTTTATTTTATATTTTTTATCTTTTCCCCTTTTTGTATGCAATATTCATTTAAATTCATTAAAAAGTAGTTATCAGTATTTGGATTTTATAGTGAATCATTATCAACGTTATCACATTGTTT